TGATTACCCCATATAAATATGGTAGAGTTGCTGACCTAGCCGACAGATATTTAATTAATTCATCATTCCCTTTCAATAACGTTTTAAGGTGTTTATTAAAATGGCATTATCAGGAGTTGTGCAATGTTGCAAGGTAGCAACCAAAGCAGGGAGAGAGGTCTCAGAGTAGCATAAGTGTCACTGGCCCAGGTTACCCTTAGACTGGGTTAGTGGTCGGTGCCAACCCCACCTACCATCATCCCCCCACTACCCATATGGGGTAGGAGGGTTTCTGAGATACCAGCCCCAAGCTGGGGGGGATAATGGTAGGGTGGGGTTGGCACCAACCACTAACCCAGTCTAAGGGTAACCGTGGCCAGTGAAACCTACGCTACTCTGAGACCCCTCTCTCCCTGCTTTGGTTGCTCCTTTGCAACACTGCACAGCTCCTGATGATGCACTGAGAAGTGTGAAAGTACTTGCACTAAAGATTCCCCTCCCCCCCCGGTGGCTTTTCCTGCATAGTTAAGATCGCCCATCTGCAATTGTTTAACCAGTTTAACCATAGGACAATGGAAAAAAGGTGAGTGGTGCACTGAGGTATCTGTGAAGACACAAAAACCATTATCCATGGATGCAAAGAAGTGAATGTACGAGAGTGAAGCGGTACCAACACTTTTATATGGGTGTGAAGGATGGGTTGTAAATACTGCAGCGAGGAGGAGGCTGGAGGCAGTGGAAATGTCGTGCCTAAGGGCAATGTGTGGTGTAAATGTTATGTAGAGAATTCGTAGTGTGGAAATTAGGAGGTGGTGTGAAGTTACTAAAAGTATTAGTCAGAGGGCTGAAGAGGGGTTGTTGTTGAGGGGGTTCGGTCATTTAAAGAGAAAGAAACAAAGTATAATGACTTGGAGAGCATATAAATCTGTAGGGAAAGGAAGGCGGGGTAGGGGTCATCCTCGAAAAGGTTGGAAGAAGTGGGTAAAGGAGGTTTTGTGGGCGAGAGGCTTGGATTGCCAGCAACTGTGCATGAGCGCGCTAGATAGGAGTGAATGGAGACAATTGGGTTTTGGGACCTGACAAGCTGTTGGAATGTGAGCAGGGTAATATTTTGTGAAGGGATTCAGGGAAACTGGTTAGGAAATGGGAAGTACACTGTCTGCACTTTAAAAGGAGGGCTTTGGGATATTAACAGTTTAGATGAACATCTAAACTGTTGTATCTGGGCACCTCTGCAAAGAGTGATTATGTATGAGTGATAGTGAAAGTATTGAATAATAATGAAATTTTTTTTTGGAGGTTTCTTTCTTTTTGGGTCACCCTACCTTGGTGGGAAACGGCCAATGTGTTAAATAAGTAAATTATATATAATACATATATAATATATACTGTATATATATATATATATATATATATATATATATATATATATATATATATATATATATAATTTTTTTTTTTTTCAACAAGTCGGCCGTCTCCCACCGAGGCAGGGTGACCCAAAAAAGAAAGAAAATCCCCAAAAAGAAAATACTTTCAATCATCATTCAACACTTTCACCACACTCGCACATTATCACTGTTTTTGCAGAGGTGCTCAGAATACAACAGTTTAGAAGCATACACATATAAAGATACACAACATATCCCTCCAAACTGCCAATATCCCAAACCCCTCCTTTAAAGTGCAAGCATTGTACTTCCCATTTCCAGGACTCAAGTCCGACTATATGAAAATAAACGGTTTCCCTGAATCCCTTCACTAAATATTACCCTGCTCACACTCCAACAGATCGTCAGGTCCCAAGTACCATTCGTCTCCATTCACTCCTATCTAACACGCTCACGCACGCTTGCTGGAAGTCCAAGCCCCTTGCCCACAAAACCTCCTTTACCCCCTCTCTTCAACCCTTTCGAGGACGACCCCTACCCCGCCTTCCTTCCCCTATAGATTTATATGCTTTCCATGTCATTCTACTTTGATCCATTCTCTCTTAATGACCAAACCACCTCAACAACCCCTCTTCTGCCCTCTGACTAATACTTTTATTAACTCCACACCTTTTCCTAATTTCCACACTCCGAATATTCTGCATAATATTTACACCACACATTGCCCTTAAACAGGACATCTCCACTGCCTCCAACCGTCTCCTCGCTGCTGCATTTACCACCCAAGCTTCACACCCATATAAGAGTGTTGGTACTACTATACTTTCATACATTCCCTTCTTTGCCTCCATAGATAACGTTTTTTGACTCCACATATACCTCAACGCACCACTCACCTTTTTTCCCTCATCAATTCTATGATTAACCTCATCCTTCATAAATCCATCCGCCGACACGTCAACTCCCAAGTATCTGAAAACATTCACTTCTTCCATACTCCTCCTCCCCAATTTGATATCCAATTTTTCTTTATATTTATATTTATATTTATTTTTATATTTATATATATACATATTATATTATTCAACACATCGGCAAGAATTCACAAATGTACGACAGTGTACGCAAGTAAAACACAGCAGGTGGAAGAGCTTAAGGCCTTGGTCGAGCCCCTAACTTTTGATGAAGTTTTCACACTGAAAGTCCTAAAGCTCTATTTTCTAATCTCCCCTCTGTGGCTTACTGTATTTGCACACACAGATTGAAGGATCATTTAAATTATGCTATCATTGCAATTCTGGCAAAACAGCTGTTGAATGAATGTTGATGAATGTGTTTCCTTGTATGAGGTCACCTTACCCTGGAAGGACATACATACATAGATATATGTAATATTTATTTAAGGAAGATACATTATATCATAAATGATCAGTCTAGCGAATATCAAGGAAAAAGATCAAAATATATTTATGTACTAAAAAAACTGAAAGACAGAGCATCACTGATTCTAGATACTTAAGAAGAGACTGAAATAAACTGATACAATGACACTCAGACCGAAAGACACTCAGTGTGACTATATTAAGCGATAGTTCGATATAGTCATTGCAAATTTTAAAAAAAAACGAGATTCATTACTACTACATTAAGAGGGATATCGAAAAGGATTACCTTCAATTGGATTTTTAGTTACAAAGATTAACTGTGTATTAAAAAGACAAAAAAATGCTTTCTACAACTGTTAAGGAATAGATTGAGATTCTCGGCACTACGTCCTCAGTAGACCGGGCAAGGAACTAGGTGGGCATATATGGAATAAGGAGAGAGGCAGGTAAAGTCAATATTGCCATTGCTAACAATGTTAGGGAACATACAGTAACACACTTCTTTCACACAAATATGCATGCTAAAACTGAAATATTTTCATGTAAATACAGCATATATTTCTATGAATGAAAGATTGTGCAATTCGTGTGAGCAAGTGTGTGTGTGTAGGTTGTGTAAGTAAAAATGGTGTGTAAGAGGAGCATATGTTGTCAGGGAACCATTTACACAACTGCCTACACCAATGTAGATGAATGATGATACAACTAGAACTTTCTTAAGTACACAAAGTCATGCCCTCCTTGCTCACTCTTGTAGATATGTCATACATACATGTACACATTACACACAAACAAATTATGTCTACCACAAAATCATTCGATATGACACCCTTATTTTTGTGTTCAAAATAGGAGGATGGCTGATGATTAAATATGAAAGCACTGGAAAATGGAATAGGAGAGATCTTTCAAAAATTACAAGAATTGCCTTCAAGGAAGGTGTTTGAGACAGTGACATAGGTGATGGATTTAGAGAGCACTCTCAACCCAGCACATAACATTGTTGTTCTCATTAATTCAATCATCTACCCACCAAAGTACATTTTCTCAATGGAGTGAATTTATTTTTGTAAACATATTCTACCACTTCAAACCTATTAATGAATCTGATTAACTCAATGCAACAGTTACTAACCACACAAAAAGAGAGCACAAAACCTAGGATCACGGCAGCAGTGTTGTTTGACACACATGCACATTTAATGCATATTTTTAATATAATCAGGAAGCCCCATTAACCACATGAAAACACTGCATTCAACTTTAAAAGAATCACAATACCATTATTATTTTAATCTCCACCTCTGATGAAAAAATGTCCATGATCAGACATGGAGAATATTGCTTGCACCTTGCAAGAGGCAAAAGCAGGGAGGATATGAGTATGTTAACACTACCCAGGCTACAACATTTACCTGACTACAATTTTCACATGGCTACAACACTCACCTGGCTGTAACAACTTCCTGGCACCAATCACTTGGCCACAACCACAGGTTACAATTGCCTGGCTACAACAAAAATCATTTGACTGCAATAATCATCTGACTACAACAACAACACTTGCCAGATTAGAAAAACACAACTGAAACAAAAAATTCCCTGGCCATCTGGCTATGGAAGGTATTTGGGTATAACAGTCACCTGCCACTCGTTCTCATAAACATTCCCTTGGTTATTCTTGAGGAAAGGCAAATAAAATCCAGAAACTTCATGTCAGAATTGACAATTTCCAAACAGGAACCCTCTCCTCTCATCTGCAGAGTCACTCAATCAAGTGGATGTGTAGCGTGTAAATGTGGACATAAGTGCATAAGTATATTTGAAAAATGTGTGTAGAACAGGGTGTATCATATTAAAAATGTGAGTAAAACAGCATATGTTATGTGTACAGAATAACGAGGGAAAAGATAAGAATGCAGCAGACACACAAGTGATAGGGTGGGAATATGTACTCTCTTAGGGTAATAGGGTGGATGTACTCTCATAGGGTAATAGAGTGGAAGGATGTACTTTCATATACTGATAGAGATTCTGGTGATAGGATGGTTATATTCCAGGATGGAAGGTGGGAAAGGTTATGGTGGAAAGCTGTTGTATGGCCAGGATGAAAGGCTGTGGTATGGTCAAGGTGGTAGGGTTGGAGTCTCTGGTCTACTGGAGACGCTCGCTGTGTGTTCGTCACTACGGGTTTAGCTGCACGGGGCATTGCGGAGCGTGGCGGGGCTGTACGAGGCTGACTAACCCGGCGTTGGTCTTGATCCTCAGTAGGCGAGACTTGAGCCCGCGACGAGGCAGGGCTCGCGGCCAGTCGGGATCAACCTGACCAAGCACACTAGGAGCCGGGTCAGGGCTGGACGGGCCGCTGAAGGACGGGCTGACTCGGAATGGGTGACGAAGGGCCGGACTCACGCCACGATCACCAATGGAATTAGTTGAGACGCCGGCTCGCCCGGGGTGGTTCCCAATTGCCACAGGGCTGGGGATGGCCCCAGGCTCCTGGCTCCCTACTAGCATGGGGGCAGGCCCAGAGGTGCCCCCTGGGTCAGGGGTAGCCAGGCCCGCCACCCTAGACATCTCCGTTACCTGCTCAGTAAAGTGTCCGGGCCGGGTGAAGGTGGGGTCAAGCAGTGGCAGCGCCTGTAGCCACACATCGTGGCTCTGGTTACCCCTGTGGCAGCCACCTGGTTACTGTGGGCTTCACTCATCCTACTTCACACTCATTGATTCATATGCAGGCTCACCCCTCACACTGTCTCATCATCACTCACTCTTTCCTTGCACTCTCGCTCTTGCACTGCTGTCTCATCCTCACACTGCCATGTGACGTTGTCACTGCTCTCATCCTCTGTCTCTTTCTCACACTGCTGTGTGGCCCATCATACTTCTGTCTGACCCCTCACACTATCCTCAAATATACATTCAAAGGTGCTCTTAGCTTCCAAATCATTTGTGACAGAAAGCAAATATTTATGTTGCAAAAACCATACAGTGCAAAAGGATTAACACCAAAAAAAAAAAGTACTTCACTGTAACTCAACAACTGTTCATATTTTTCAACAGTAATTTTTAATTTAACCCATAATTTATACCAGATGCAGTATATTCATAAGATATCAAGGAATTTCCATATTTTAATTCATGAGTAGGAAAGAGCTCATATTAATATAATTTTATGAATCACTGTTCAACAAGTGTTAATGAACAGTTTTTTTAAGTTTGCTGAGTTACATAGTATACTCTTACCTGCATAGCTGAGGACACTGGGAGCACTCCAGTGTATAGCTCTGTTCCCACTTATAAAAATACTTTGGAGAAATACAATGCTCCAGTATCCTTTCTTACCTTCCTTCCTCTAAAACAGATTAGAATATTTTAAAGTGTTTCATGAAAATCAAAATAATATAATGTAATGCCTCTTTTCAAAGCTAACTAATATCTTACAATTTAGAAAACTACTAAGAATACTGTACATGCTTTTTATTCTTTCTCCAGCTGATAGTTTGGACTGAAATACACTTATTCCACAAATTATACAAGTGTAGGGTGTTCTATGGCACACTTGAATTAAAAAGCACAATTTTGGTGCCATAAAATGCAATATTATGAAACCATAAATTGCAAAAATCAATGCATCTGCATGGACTCTGAAAAACTTACATTTATCATTAGAAAAGTTATCGAGATAATTAAATTTACTTGTTAGAATTCATGGCATTATGAATGAACTTAGAAACAGTGGCACTTAGTCTATGTTGAACAGTGTAGTGTTAACTGGTGTAGCACTATGATATAGGCATCACTTGCTCAGTAAGTTAAGGCACTGTTGGGTATATTTATGTAGATGAGGGGGGGAGAGAGAGAGAGAGGCAATTTTGAATTAGTGAGGCTCTCAACATGCCTATTTCCTCTAACCAATATGGTATTCCATACCCAGTGATCAAATGTCTGCAGCTATGGTATGAAATTATTATTATTATTATTATTATTATTATTATATTATTATTATCAGAATGGATAAGTGCAAAACTAGTGATCATACAGTGCCTGGGGAATGAGAAATAATCAGGACTGGTCCAAGGAGGAGAAGGATAGGCCCTATGGATCGTAAGCCCTTTATCAGCATCAAGGTGATACTTTGAGAACCAAGACACAAAACTATTGGTGGTGTACTTGTAGTGTTGATCATGACAGTGATGTGGTGATTGCTCTTTCTAACTATACTTTTACTGCAAGTACCTATACCTTTACTGCCCATAATTAAATAAATCTTATTAAGGAAACATTAAAGAATTGCATTCACTGACATGAACTGCTTTAGGGGAATCTAAAACTGAAATTAACAAGACATTATTTGTTCTGGGTACAAGATGAGTATGATGAAGGATAAACATATTACAATGTATGAGTTCAGTTCAATCATAATATCTCTCATTGTGTTTGACTGTATTTGCTCACACTTACTGTTACTGTATTTGCTCACACCTACTGTTACTGTATTTACTCACAGCTACTGCTACTGTATTTACTCACAGCTACTGTTACTGTATTTGCTCACACCTACTGTTACTGCATTTATTCACACTTACTGTTTTTACTCATCCCTACTGTTATTGTATTTGCTCATACCTATTGTTACTGTATCTACTCACATTTACTGTTACTGAAGTAGTCTTGAGTGCAATAGTCTGTATGTACTCAAGATCATTCCAAGAATTGTATTTGGCCTGATTATACATTTTGGACTTACTATTATAGTCATTGGGAAGTGCTAAACCTGAAAGGGTCATATACTGCCTGGGGAATGGGAAGAAATCAGACTTAGTTTAAGGATGGGGATGATATCTCCAATTCCCTGGATCAAGAGTCCTTCACCAGCATCAAGGATTTACCCCTTCCTCATCAAGTTGCTTGTGTGACTTGAATTAATGACTTGTTATAGCTAATCAAAGCTGCCCAACATACTGGACAATGTCAGTGTCTGTTTTCCTCTAACAAAAGAAATATTATATGGAAGTAAGCTGCTTTGACCTTTTTGGGTCATCCTAAGTAATTTACACTATATATGATAATTGTACTAATGTGTACCTGTGCCTAAATAAACTTGTGAATAAAAACATGGAAGATAAAATTAAAAGTTAAAGGACTACAATTTGATGAGAGCAGTGCTAATGCAAGGCCAATAGTATGAACAATAGTTAACTAGTCAAGACTTTTAATCTTCACTGCAGTATGCAATTTTTAATTTCATCTGACATCCCCAGGCTAAGATATTTCCTTTGTACTGGAATTCTAACTTTAAGAAATACACTTGCAATATCATTTACTCTAATTTTTAGTGTGTTCTAATATCTGTTAAGAAAATGCCACCTAAAATTTATTTCATGGCATATGATCAATAATGAAGATGGCTAAACAGGAGAGTTCAGTTACTAAAGACTTCACATGTTGCTAGCTGTGATAGCGATAGTCACTAGCTATAATGACAGTCACTAGCCATGATAGTGGTAGTCATTAGCTATGATAATGGTAGTCACTAGCTATAATAGTGACAGCCACTAGCTATGATAGTAACAGTCATTAGCTATGACAGCAATAGTCATTAGCTATGATAGTGATATTTAGGAAAATATTATGTCAATATGGTCCTCAACTCTACATTTCTTTCACCATAAATTACATAGGAAAATAGATAAAAGATTACAATAATATTTCGACTTTATGATGAAATTTAAGATAATTACCCAGCATGAAGGGAGCACATCTGTAACTTGTATTCATTTATTTACTTTTCAGTACTGGTATTTAGTATCAGTGATTATTTGTACATTTACTCATTCAGCAACAGCTATTTATTTACAAATTTATTTATCATATCATATTCATATTTGAATTATGATGGGTTTGTCAGAATATAACCCATCATAAGTTGACAAACACCTGTATTTAATTTATAGCATTCAATGTTGTTGCTAATAAACTGATGCTAAGATAATGAGACATACTCAAGGGGTGCACATCTATTCACAATTTATTTTAATACTGGGGAAACATTCGGCAGTTTCTAATTATTTGGCACTTTGCTAGTTTCTGATTTGTTAATTATTATTGCTAGTGAGAATGCAATTTTTTACACTTCTAGCTGTCATTTCATCCAGTTCTCTAAGGTCCTGAAATGGAGCCTTTGTGGCAAAAACTGTTTCTCTCATAGTGGAATGTAAGTACTGTGCAGTGCTGAAGGCAATGGTGACAACTTGAAGCCATTTCTTTATTGCTAATTGTCATTCTTTCATTGTTGCTAGAGTTTTGAATTAATCTTAGTCTGCCCAAAATGCCTAGTCATGCTAGGTGTGATAGTGGCCCTCTCTGTAATTAGTATTTTATAATACGTAAATCACACAATATCCCATAATATATAAACCCCGCCTTGTAATCTTTATAAAGAATAAACTTGATTTGATTTGATTTGAAAGTTTCTATTGTTGCTTTAACCATTCTTCTCTTCCTCCTGGATGAAAGTTCTATTCCAAATATTGCAATCCAGACATCCAAAGTTATTTCTGCTCTCAAGTTGCCGTGTGAATTAAACCCAGATTTACTCAGTGATAATATCCAGATCCTTTAAAGATGCATACAGGGATAATTCCTCCCTTTTTTTAGAATATACAGTGCAACCTCGGCTTATGAATTTAAACCGTTCCCTGACCTTGTTCGTATCCTGATTTGTTTGTATGCAGAGTCAATTTTCCTCATTTAAATTAACTGAAAAGCCATTAATCCATTCCAGCAGAATTCTTTTTCTCAGAAGGTACGACAAAATACACTTCAATGTGTAGATGAATGGTTCAGAGAACCGACATGTTGATAAATTAGACACATGTGCAACTCTTGAGTATCTTTATTGAGGAAACGTTTCACCACACAGTGGTTTCATCAGTCCATACAAAGGAGAATCGTGAAGAGCAGCAGGAGAATGAGGTAATCAGTCCCTCAACCTTGAGTCGATGTGGTCAGTCCATCAATCTTGAATAGAATACAGCATATGAGCGGAGAAGTGGCTTATATACCGTAGGCAGGAGAGGTGCAGCAGTCGTAGGTGTCACATTTGTCCATGTGGAAGTAGGTCGTGCTCAAGGGTTAGGCAAGCGAAGAATTTCCAAGTATTAAGATCCCAAGAAGTTGCAGTGTCTGACAGGAATGTAGATGAATGTTGGTTCTCTGAACCTCTGCACCTCTCCTGCCTACGGTATATAAGCCACTTCTCAACTCATATGCTGTATTCTATTCAAGATTGATGGACTGACCACATCGACTCAAGGTTGAGGGACTGATTACCTCATTCTCCTGCTGCTCTTCACGATTCTCCTTTGTATGGACTGATGAAACCACTGTGTGGAAACGTTTCCTCAATAAAGATACTCAAGAGTTGCACATGTGTCTAATTTCTCAACACTTCAATGTGACACTAATATCAACTCTGGGGCTTATTTATCTATTACAATTCATCTAAAATGACTAAATACACAATATAAATGTAACACAGAAACATGATATATACTATAAAATGAATGAAATAGGCCATATGGTGAGTGATGCTGGCAGTGGCAGCAGCATCTGCCATTTCCTCTCCCACTGACTATAGTATCTTCCCATGCTCTTATTATAAGAGAA